ACTACTCTTCTCTAACTCTACATTGGTTTTTCTCATTTTTCTTTGTCGATACCTACGTTGAATTACCTTATCATCTTTGTTGATAGGGCTTGGTCGACTTTTTGCCCTTGGCCAAGGAGGCCTGAGATAGCTCGGGTAAGTCGATAAAGGGACTCGAGGGCACCATCGGCTACCTGCAGGATAAAAACTCGACCCTTGTGCAGCACAATGCCAAACTCCGCGAGACCGAAACAGAACAGAAGGCCGAGCTCAAAGTCAAGGTTAAGTCTCTTGATGAGGAGCTCGCTAAGAAGAATAAGGCTCTCGCGGAGAGAGAAGCCGCCCTCGCGGCTAAGGAGATTGTGGTGGCGGAAAAAGAAAATGCGCTGAAGGAGATGGAGACTGCGCTCGAGCAAGAGCGGACTGCTCGAACACAAGCAGAGGCTGCTTGAGCGCAGTCGGAGGCTGCTCGGGTGCATGCAGAGGCTGCTCGAGTTGAGCTGGAGGCTACCCTAGCGAAAGAAAGGGCTTCCCACGCCAGTCAATGCAAACGCTACGCTGATGCCGCTGCTCTCCGGGCTCGGCAGATGATGTGGGGCACCAGTACTGGGCAACTCTTTCTCCGAGAGTACCGTGAGCAAGTGGTGGCCGATTTTACGCGGTCACCACAATATTTGAAGGATGTGCAAGATTTTGGGGTAGACTGCTTCCAGTTTGCCCTTCAGAAGGCCGGCGAGCAGATCGCCGAGGACGATTTTGAGCAGCTTGACCCTGGGGCTATCTGGGAGGCCTTGCCCAAGGTTCCTTCTAGCTTCCAGGGCGATCCTAACATACCCTCTGAGCATGAGTGGTCGTCGAGGCTACTTGAAAGGACTCTGGCTCGATCAGATATCCTTAAGAAAACTTATGCTCTGCCTGATGGTCTAACTCCCCCAGCCTCGATGTTGGCCGTGCTGACCGAGTCTATCCGCCAGCGTCCACTTAATGAAGCTTGCGACTCGACCTCCGGGACCAGCCATCCGCCCGATCCTAACGCTAATCATAGCAACGCCTATTCGACCGCAACTCCTCCTCCTTAGTTTTAGCTTTATATTTTCTCGTTTGTCTATTTTGAATCTGAACTATGTACTCCGATGAACTTTGCTATGTTTGTGGAATGGTGATATTTTGTTTTTCGACTTGCCTTGATCTTTGATGATGCTCTTAATAATTAGACTTACTGCCTTTGTCATAGCTCCTTGATGGAAAC